ACATAAGTTACGAAGACAGACTCATCGATGTGTACGGCGAGACCGGCGATCACCGTGGCTACGTCTGCGCCCTGAAGATTCATCCCTTCACTTGCGTCGCATTTTACGAAGACCCGCAGTCGTGGCTGGTGGAAGGCGGCACCGTCAGGAGACTGAGAGCGCGCGAGTGGGCTGCCTGGATGACCGGGGCTGACCCAGGTCCCCGCGAGCGGGGACCAGCCCTTTCCATTTTCATGTTTCCCTGGGGTCTCTTGCTCCTGGCCCGGCAGTGCTGTTCGCTCAGACGGCCTCGGCTGCTCCTCCGTGTCCTGGGGGGCCTGAGCAAACCCGCCCGGCTGATGCTGCTGGCCCTTGCTAAATCCCTGTCCTTGTGCTGCCGCCTTCCCTCCCGCTGGCTTCAGGCTGCAGCCGGCCCCGGGGCCGAGCAGCTTCTTAATGCCACTGTCGGTGCCTGCTTCTGCAGCCAGAGCTCTCCACGCCTCCGGCCCCCGCCTTGAGGTTAGACCCCGTGCAGGGGGGGTTTTACATCATTGCCCTGATCCACGGCCATTGCCAGTTGCAGATTTCAGCCCTAATCGATGCTTTCCCTCCCGCTGTCTCCACCGCTGCTGCCAGGCTAATGAGCTGCGAGCTATGGACACGTAAATCGGTTGTTGGCCAGTTCTTGGGTGGTGGAAGGGCTGTCACTGGCAGAGTTAGAGGTCACACCAGCAGCTGATGAGGTGAGGAGGCCACGAGCGTCTCCAGGGTCTGTGACCCGAGCCCGTTCTGTTGCTCGTCAGCTGCTGCCCACGCGAGTTGCACGGTTTCTGTCTCTGTGTCACATCTGTTAAAGAAGAGCAAAATGTTTAAAGCCAGCCTGAGGACCCTTGTGGCTCTCGCGCTGCTGGGCAGCAGAGGCTCACGCTGTATCTCATGGTCTTACTTCTTTTTTTCTAGATCTGTCAAAGTTTGCTGAGACCTTTAGGCCAGAGCTCAGTCTGACAGAGAGGCCACCTCTTGCCAAGCCGGTTTATTCACACCGGGGCCTTGACAGCGCTGATGAGCTTCGTAAGCAGCTGTTTCCAGGTCGGTCTGCTCATTGCTGTCACTGGCTTAGATCAGATGTGAATCTCAAGGGCAGAGTCAAGGTCAAAGATGAGCACGGAGACATTGTTTAAATGGGTGACAGAGATGGAAATTGCAGATTGGACAGCAAAGTTGCATTCAAAACCTGAGGAGCTGGGGTTGTTCTTCCTGGAGAAGAGAAGACTCCGGGGGAACCTCATCCCTGCCTGCAGTGCCTGAAGAGACGTACAGGAGGGCTGGGGAAGGACTTCTGACAAGGGTGTCCAGTAATAGGACAAGGCGAAATGGGTTTAAACTGAAGTAGAATAGGTTTCGATTGGATTTTAGGAAGAAATTCTTCACTCCCAGGGTGTC